CTCAGGCTTTCTTTTTTTGCAACCTGATAAATTGCTTCTGAGCAAATGTGTGCTAACATCTATAAATCTAGCTCTCCAGATTATGTTTTCTGCTTGTTTTTTGTGGTACTTATCATGTCCACCATTCTAACATCCTGTCCTGCATCTTTCAGTACTATATACTGTTTTTCTTATCATACAACTGCTTGACCAGTCACTCAGGGCATGAAACTTTCTCCCTGTCCTCTTAGTTCAAACCACTTTTTCCTGCATAACTTAAGCAACTGACTCCAACCATGTGGACTCCTTTACTACCCTTAGTTAGTAAGGGTAGTATTCAAATCTTGATTTTTATTTCTAATGTGTCTCCAGAATTCTTAGCCTTGTGTTTCAACCAGCCTCTGTTTTCTGAATGTTTCACAATTATTTTCAAAGTAGTGCGTCCAAAACTGTATTTCCGATCCTCTCTCCTGAGATTTTTCCATGGCTACTGCTCTTTCTTTCTCCCACCACCCTGTTATCAATGACAAGACTGTTTTCTGGGTCCTGGGGACCCATCTTTATTGCACTGTGGCACAGATATTCTGGCAATATCTAAAATTGTTATTGCTAATCCTTCCCCCACTCCCCCCCCCCCCCCCCCAGCCACTTCTACAATGTTCCTAAACCTGATGCAATCATACCCCCTGTTTTAATGGAGCCATACCTCTTTGACATCCACTGTACCTATCACAATGTATGTAGAAGTTTCTTGTCTTCACAGGCAGGAGTCTACATAGTTCTGTCCTAACTATTCCTGACTCATGGTCACTGCCTTCGTTAAGTGAAAATGTTACCATCTTTATCATATTTATGTAAAGGTATGTAGAAGGAGAGTGCTTCTTTAAGTGTATGTAGTCAAGGACATTTTCCAATTTAACAAGGGATAATAAGATGGGGAAGCAGTGATGGGAACCAACCCTGGTCAGTCACAGTAATTGGTAAGACCAGGAGAGAATGCAGAAGCATTTATTCCAGCAGGAGTACCTGATTGAGAACTTCTAAACTGGGAGACAATTACCAGATATAAACATCCTAGCCTCACTAGCTGGTTGGCTATCAAGTTACAGGCATCGCTTCCAGGAGAAACAACCTGGACTTTGCAACTGATCTAACTGTGAAGTAGGTGGTCCTCAACTAGGAGGGTACCGAAACTGCAGATGACCCATGGGGGTCTGCAGGGATAAGAGGGAGAAGGAGGAACAAAGAGGGGGACAGGTAGAAAAGGGTATAAAAAGGCTGGTTATGTGCAAAATGAGGCTGGTCGGTACACTTACCTGGCTGAGCCCTGTGCCTGGTCACTACAGTCTGATCTTTCTTCCTACTGTTCCTCATTAAATTTTTCTTAACAATCCTTCTGTGCATACCCACTTTCTCTCCCTTGTGTGCATGCTGCAAGGACTATGTGCCAGCTACTGGTGAGACCTATGCATGCGTTTGCGTTAATTCAGTGCCAGTTCTTGAGGGACCTGTGAACTTTAAGCTGGAGCAGTTGGTGACCTGGTGAGCCATGAAGCAGGTAGGGGGCCTAGAATCTGGGCAGTGATGCTTGGCAGTCAGAGGGGCTGTGCTGGATTTACGAATGTGTGTGTGCTTGTGAACCCAGAATGTTGTGTGTGTGGCCACACTATTAACCTTCTGTCTCTATCAGGCAGAAAGGAGGAAGGGGACTCCGATCTCTGTTTTACGTGAGTCCTGTGTGTAAATGCTGCTGAAGGCAGGGCAGTTGGTGTGTTAGTGCCCCATGTGTCTCTGGCATATTTGCTCAGCTTTGCTATGGGCTGAACCTGCTCAGGACACAGTGGCATCCATGACCTCCAGCCTGGGCATAAACTGTGGGTCACTGGACATGGGGCTAGGCCCCAGTGGTCAGACAGGAGCAGGGCTGCGCCGGAGCTGGGGGAGGTGGCCATGCCCTGCACCTCACTTAGGAATTCAATGTGCTTTTTCATAAATATTGTCTTTGGTGCCATTTTGGATCTGTAGAATATTTCTCTAAATTTGAATTGATGTTTGGAAACACTTCTTATCTTCTGTATGTCTAAATACTACTGTCACACCTTTGGTTAGTGACCTGAGTAAAAGCAGAATGGTTGAGGGCTAACAGAAAATGTGATTAAAATTCCCTTTCATTTTAAAACTAACACATTGACAAATATTTCTGTGCCAAAAGAATACTGCCAGCACATTATCATTCAGAGAACAGCAACAATTTGAAGCCTCTAATAATGTATAGAAAAGTAGTGACTTTTTTTTCCTTATCATCCACCTTTAATAACCGAAAAGTACATAAAATGCTAGTATTTCTAAACAAATTTAAGTAATTTTCTTTTTCTAAATGTGCATTAAAATTATATCAAAATTGTTTTCCATTAAATATATAATGTTTTCCATTATATATATATAAATGAAAATTATTTTCACATTAGAAAAAAAGTCATGCAAGAAGTTTTGACTGTGGAGGTATTTTGGGTGGCTTCTGCAGACAGGATGGGTACATGCCTTGGGAAGAGATTCTTGAATTCTCTTTCTAGTGCTTGTTTATGAGTGGGCAAAAGGAAGAAGGGCTTAATGTCATGACTTTTCAATGTATTCCCATACATTCGTTTGATTCCTCTTTTGTTCCTGTTGTGCTGCAGTTCTCTCTTTTCCTCATAAAGTAGCCAATGTTATTTGTCTGCTCTATAGCTGAAATGAGAGCATTGCTCTAAAGCTCATATGAATACCATCCCCTTATAATGTTTTGACTGCTTTAATTCAGTGCTTGATGTCAGACCATCCACCCCACCATGCACAATGGTATTGTGACCTACAGCTAACCTCATAATGGCTATTAGGGTATTAAGTGGGTGTGTTTCCATTTCTGCTAGTGGAGACATTGTCTTTGACTACAGCTACAAATTGGTGTTTGCAATTCATTTACAGATGCAACCGAAGTTTTCCTTGGTGAAGTAAAAACTCACCCATACCACTTCAGGTTGAGTGACTTGTACTGAGGATGATGTAACACTTATCAGATGGCAAAATTCCTATTAACTTCATTTTTTCTTAGGTTTTCCATGAATTTCTACACTGTTTTTCTTTGCCATTGTTTAAGTTTTTATGTTTCATTTTGTCCTACAGAAATATACTCTACATATCCTGAGATTCTTGGAAGATAAAATACTTCTGTTGCTTTTAGTTAAAGACTATCACTTCTGCCAATTCTTCATGATTTAATATGGCTAATACCATTAACATGTGATTAACCTAGGTCAACATATGCTTGAAAGAGAAAATCTGAGTCTTAAATGCAAGATTTTTTGCTTTCAAATCATACCTCACTTTTTAAAAAACTAATGAACGTTTTCTTTTAGGCATGCATACGAATAGTAATTGAACATCTTACTCTTCCTGTCTCACAATATTTTGAAAACATTTGAAGAGCTTCATATATTGATTTTTCTGATCTAGATAACATGGCATTAATGGTAAAGAACAGGAATTGTGAAATGATGTAACTCACATAATGAGGTTCATACTTTGGTTTCAAAGATTGAGCACTGTGAAAGTTCAAGCTCATTGAGTGTAAAATTATACTGTAAAAGACAATCACCTCATGAAATTTTATGAGATGAATGCAAAGCCCATAGCGGCCTTGAACTGAATTCTCATACATGCAGCTCTTGATGTATTTTGTAGATGTATTTCATGTAATTGATGTATTTTGTAGAGCAACACACCTCTTTAGATCCAACCATTATAAAATGAAGTTAAGGTCTCTGAATCTGAAAAGCCCACAGGCTGCAGCTCTTCGAGAACTGCTTCCACATGGCTCCATACCATGGAGTCCATCTCCAGCAAACTGCTCCAGCACTGGTCCCCCACAGGTGGAACCCTCCCCCCCCACTCTCCCCCCCGTTTTTCCTCCCCCCCCCCCCGGCTCCTATGTGGGCTCCTCCGTGGCTTGCAGCATGGAGATCTGCATTGCTGTGGCACCCCTTGAGCCATGGGTGGACAGGTGGACAGCCTGCTCCACGGTGGACCTTTCCATAGGCTGAAGGGTAACATCTGCTCCAGCACCTGGAGCTCTTCCTAACCTCTTTCTTCATTGACCTTGGCGTCTGTGGGATTGTTTGTCTCTATAATTTTCTTTCCTTTCTCTGTCCCAGCTGTTGTTGTGCAATAAGTTTTTCCCTTTCTTAACTACGCTGTCCCAGAGGTGCATCCAATGGCACTTATTGGCTTGGCTCTGCCAGCAGCAGGTCCCTTTTGGAGATGGCTCTTATCTGACATGGCGCAGCTGATGGGCTCTTCTCACAGAGCCCACCCCTGCAGCCACTCTGCTACAAAACCCTTGCCATGTAAATCCAATATGTGCCTTCAGAAGCAGTAGGTTGCACACAGTGGGCTCCTGAAACACATCCATATGAGCAGGCTGGCTCATACTGTCTCCCACATACTAGTGTCATTACTGCTTCAATGTTAAAATTGATTGCTTTCACAGAGCTAAAGCAAAATGCACCAGAAATCTTGGGCTGTGCAGGGAGATGGGGGCTAGGTTATTCTGCACATCCATCATTGTGAATGCTTCAAGGGGCCACAAGCAGGAAAGAGCAGCCAAGCAAACCATGTGAGCTTGCCAGGGCCAGAGTGGATGCAGGGCCACACTGCCTATGCCTGTCCCTCTTCCCCCAACAAAGCGTTCCAGCTTCGTCACCTCTTGAGCATGGGAATCATAAAGAGGTCAGCCTTTGCAAGATAACAGGGTTTAAGGACATTATCATTTATTTATTTATTTATTTATTGTACTGTGTATCCGTTTTACCTTTCCCTGATCCCCAACATCCCCATCTACTTCATGAGTGTTTTTTGACTTCAAACTGAAGAGGGTACTGCTCTGAGACTAGGTCTGACCCACATATCTCAGGTAGCCTCTCATTCCTTTTCAGGGTACTTCTGTTTTTCAAACCATAACTTCATAAAATAAAGAGAAGAAAAAATTAAATAGAAACAAAACACATTTATTATGTGTAAAGAACTTTTAACTTTTGAAATGAAAACATCAGATGACTGATTCTGTATCACATTTCTATTGTTAAGGCCTGTACAGTGTGTAGCTATTGTAGAGACTCTATATCACCATGGAAACAACAGCTGCTTCTACTGGCAGTATATTAACGTCTTACCTAGAAATAATGGTTTCCCACGGTAAAGCATTTAAATGTAGTCAGCCATTGCCTTTTCTTCTAAACTGCATTCAGGTAAGCTTAGAACTTATATACAATTCAGAATCTGAGATACCAGATTTTAGTAACATTTCATACAATGTTCACCAAAAAAGGTCTTTATTACATGCATAACCAGGTTTGCTTTTGCATGTAAGTGATGTTCAGCTAAAGTTTTGTGTATTGAACCATATCATTGTATGAGTTAAATATATGAGATGGCACACAAACATGGAAAGCAGGCAATTTCTGTTCTTTTCCACTGTTTATGGAAAGTATATTTTTGTTGTGGTCCCTGCTTTTGACCTAAAAGGTGAAAGAACAAGTTAACAACTTATGTCAGGATCAGTAGCTCAATTAAAAGTGCTGAGGAAGTGATGTACAGAAGCAGAAATTTAAGGACTGCTGGGACACAGATGCAACTGCTCCTAAGAGAAGAACGGCAACATGGTGTGATTGACTGCTACAAGTTTCCTGTTCAGCTAGAACACTGATTATGTTTTCTGAGACATACTCTAGCTCAGAAGTGAGAGAAAAGCAAAAACGTGAAGGGAAACACAGCCATCCACAATGCTCTGATGTAACATGGCCCAGAAGATGCATATTTTTTGTATACTCCGGACACTAATTTCCTGAAATTGTAATTGTTAAGTGTCCTTGTTTTGGCTGGGATAGTGTTTTGTTTTTGTTTTGTAGAGGCTTGTATGATGATATGTTTTGGATTTGTGGTGAAAATAATGTTGATAACACATTGATAGGTTGGCTGTTCCTGAACAGTGCCAGCAGTAAGTCACAGACATTTCAGCTTCTCCCACCGCTCTGCCAGTGAGGAGGCTGGGGGTGCACAAGGAGCAGGGAGGGGACAGAGCCAGGACAGCTGCCCCCAACTGTCCAAAGGGATATCCCAAACTACATGGCTTCATGAAGAACAAGAAAACTGGGGTAAAGAAGGAACAATGGGGTCTTAGCGGGGGTGAGGTGCATTTGTCTTTGGTGTTTGTCTTCCTAATAAATTGTTATATGTGATGGGCATTGCTTTCCTGTAGATGGCTGAACACCTGCCTGCCAATGGGACGTAGTAAATGAATTCCTTCTTTTGCTTTGTTTGTGCACAAAGCTTTTTCTTTAAGGCTGAGAAACATGGAAGTGTTAGACCTAGAAAAGAGAAGGTTCCAGGATGGCCTTATCGCAGCCTTGCAATACTTAAAGGAGGCTTATAAGAAAATGGAGGGAAACATTTTACAAGTGCCTATAGTGATAGGACTAGGGGCAATGGTTTTAAACTGCAAGAGGATAGATTTAGATTAGATACAAGGAAGAATATCCTCACTGTGGAGCACTACTAGGGTAGTGAGGTACTGAAACAGGTTGCCAAGAGAAGCTGTGGATGCCCCGCCCCATCCCTAGAAGTGTTTGAGTTCAGGTTGGATGGGGCTTTGAGCAACCTGGTCTAGTGAGAGATGTCCCTGCCCAGGCAGGGGGTTGAACTAGATAATCTTTAAGGGTCCTTTCCAACTCAAACCATTCTATGATTAAAAAACAGAAATAATAGTTGTCTCCTGGAGCTACATGATCTCAAGAATATGATAGACCTTAGCTCTGCACGTTGCAAGGACATACAGTAAAAAACTTCTGTATTACAAAGCTCAGCTTCAGAACTCAAGTAGTGCTACTGACCCTTTCTTCAGTATTTCTGCACAGTTTTCTATACCCTACCTTCTCTGCTAAAGTTGAGTTGATTTCAGAAGTTGCTATGGGCACAGAAGTTTTCCTGACAAAGAGGGAATGAAGAAGGAGGATATGAATGACTCTTGATGGGAATTTTTTTTAATAAGTTAGTCCTTGGAAGTCTTAACAGCTCACCTGACTTGCTGCAGATGACGTTTTCACCACGGACAGACATAAGTGCAGAAGCCTTAGGCTTTTTGTTTGTCTGTTTTAAGTAAAAATTCTGAAACAAACCAAAAAACACACAGGCCTGCCTCTCTCTGAACCGCCACTTGGTTGAACTTGAGTCAGTTGTATGCTAAATATTATTCATTTTCCATTAACATGTTGAAGCCCTGTACCACTTCATGTTTCTGCCACAGTCGTGTTTTACACAGTCGTCAGTGTAAAACACTCTTATCCTTATTATGCCACATGCCTGCATGAAAATATTGGGCTTCTCTAGTTTTATTACCAGGGGCAAGCAGGCAGTGGATAATAGAGGACTAACACAATAGAGGAAGGGACTAACGTTTTGGCTGGGCGTTTGATTGCAACTGCAGAGCCAAGAAGCTCTTGCATTCACTCAGGAGCTCAGAATCTCAAAGCCAGTGTCCACAGAACTGAGCATAATGTCCGCCATGACATTTTTTATATGAAGTGATGGTAACAAGGAAACATGATATAGTAGTACTACATTAATGATCACATCTCACTCCCTACATGGGCCAGATTTTGTTTTCTGAAGCTGCCAACTGAGCAAAAGAAGGGCAATTTGTGTGTTCATCTCCAGTTTTCCTCTTAGAAACGGTGCTACATACTGCCATGATAGACAACTCACTGCCTCTTTTGTCCTGGGTTAGCATTGCTCTCTCTGAAGTCGGGTTCATGTTGGACTCAGCAGTCTCTATGGCACTGCAGCTGAACATCTCAACCAGACACCTCCTGAACTAGAAGGTTGAAACAAAGGAGATCAATCAAAACACAAGAAATTAAAAAATATTTCTATAAAGCAGTTTGTGTCTTAACTAGAACTCTTGGAAATTATCTTATTAATCAGTTGGGCACATACAGAAATAGCCCCATTAAATATATATGCTTGTGACACCACGAAGAACTCTCAAAGTGAGAAACAATGACATTCTAAAAAAGGCCCAAACTACTAGTAAGCCTCATTCTAAGAAATAATTTTCTTCTCATGCTTGTTCCTAGCCACATCTTGCTGAAGAGAATTGCTCATTTCTCGGAGTTCATGAGTTGCTTTCATGCACTAATACACAGCTATTCAAAGATGTTCTCTTTCCATTTTGTTCATATCCATGAGCACCCTACCTCAAAAGCAATTCACTGGTATTGCATTCCTAAAGAATAGAAATATCATGGGACAGTCTTGAAAATAGACTTTTCATACAGAAAACTGTATGAAATAACTGACATTCACTAAGGGCTGATTTCCCTTTCTAATAGTTAAACCTAATTATTATTAACATTCATATTGTAATAATGCTCTGAGGTTTATGCTATGCTCCAGTAAGTAGACATAGTGATTTTTTTCATTTTATTTTTTTAAATTCTAAATGCTAGTTATTGTATTGCTGGTTAACTAACAAGTAGATAGAAATAATTCATTATAAAGCAAGTCTACATATGAAAATATGAGTTTTAAAGACACTCTGAAAGCATACAGTACCTGTTTGTTCATAAAGACATAAATAATTGGATTATAAACAGTAGCTGTTTTGGAAAAGAAAGCTGGAATTGCTGCCAGACGAGGATCCAATTCAATGGAAGGATATGCAGTGACTAGGATAGAAAAGGCAGCATATGGCATCCAGCAGATTAGAAACGCAATGATCATAACAACAACCATTCTAGTCACTTGTCTTTCAGGTTTCCTGGTAGTTCCCAGCCTGCATTGAGTATCTGACACCTTTAAAGAAAAGACAGAAAATTCCAGAAAATAAGCAAGGCCTTCATGCAGCAAATGTGGGGGAAGTTTTATAATCTGCCATGCTATAAGGGAAGATCTGTTCTTGTCAAGTATGATAGCACATAAGAATGCTGTTACTGGACCACAGAGTGTCAGTATGAGTGCTAAGGGATGTGAATTACTCTATCTTGTGATTATTCAATTTTCATTTGTTTACATATCTTTATATTTTTATTGTCAAAATAACAGAAAAAAATGCTAGGACCATCTTTGTACAAAAACACAGTTGCAGTCCAGCATGACTGTAGCCTGTACAGGCACACCCAAGCTAGATTTAGCCAACCATGAGAAGTGAAGTGATGGCCCAGATTTGCTGTCCAGCCTCACACATGTTGATTTATCTCAAATATTTTCATGGGTGCTGCAGCAACACACCTCAAGGCAGTGCAGATATACAGACAAATTCCACCTGTGAGAAAGGGAATCCTAATGATTTTAGTCGAATTAGAGATAATAGGCCTCTATTTAGAATGCCAAAATACAGAATACAATGACTGACGGAATGAGCAACTGGAGGTATCTGACAACACCAACTTACAAATGCAGACGTTTTAAGCTACATTCTGAATTGTCTGGTTTGAATCTGAAAAACTGCCACTGAACTGAATTGCAATTGTAAATAAACCAATACTGGCTCATCCAGCTTCTTTATTTATGAGGCTGGCATTTTTTCTAACAATGTTAGGCTAATGAGACATAAGTGATAAAACTTGGACACTGAAAAATCATTTCTAACTATAGCATAGATTTCTGTTTGTAATTATAATTATTTAACAAAGCTTGACAAGTGAGCGTATTTGCTGTCTGGAAATCTGACATCTGATCATTATGGAAATTTGAACACAAAAATTCCAAATGATTACATACATACACATTTCACAGTTCTACTTATTAGTGCTTCTTCTTACCTTTCTTAGCTTCTGCATCAGTTTTCCATAGGATACCAAAATTACCAATAAAGGCACTATAAAACAGGTGGTGAAAAATGCAATAATGTAGGTATGATCAGTATAAGCTCCTGAATACCTGTATAAAACACAGAATACGTCGTGTATGTATTACTAATGTGTTCTGATTAATATTCTTGAAGAGTTCATTTTGCTCTTTAAAGGTGTCACTAATATTTTTGTTAACTGTTTTTAATCAAAACCCCCCTGTATAGCTCTAGTCAAATCACCAGATGGAGCCCTGGGCCATCTCCCTAGCACTGGGCTAGGAAACGTTTACTTTGTAGGATCACAGACACAGAACTATAGAATTGTGGGTCTGTCCAGGTGGGAAGGTACATGTAATCCAACCTCCTGCTCAATGTGATGTCAACTATGGGGGTAGAACAGGTTGCACAGGGCCTTGTCCAGACTTCTAAAAATATTTTAGTCCTCGTTGAATCCAGACAAAAACCGTAAGGTATGGGACAGTTATCTTCATTAGATACAAAAGCTTCTCCTTTTAGAAAATTATACACACACACACACACATTTTTTTAACCTGTTCTTGGCAATTTTTTCTTGGTTTTGTTATAGCTTTGTCTACCTCTAGTTTTGCCTGTAAGTCCATCATCTTCAAGCCTTTCCTTTAAACTCCTGCTTTGGAGAAGTCATGAGCTGTAAGTGTAATTTCTTCACAATACTCTGCAAGGATGGCCTTACCAGTTAGGCTCGCAAGTAGTTCCAATCTTACTGGTGGTGTAGCTGCTCCAACCCATAGTTGGTGGGATGGTCCAAATGAAGGAAAAGGTCCACACAAAGGCAATACCTAAGGCAGCATGCTTCCCCTTCAAGCGCATATTTCCCAGTGGGCGGCAGATCACTATGTACCGCTCAAAAGCCAAAAGCGCAAGAGACCAGAGAGCAACAATACCTACAGTGGGAAAACACAGTCAGCATAAAAAAATCAGATAGATTCACTGAAAATCAAACACTATCCCACCATCACAGAGTCACAGAATCATTTATGTTGGAGGTCACCTAGTCCAGCCCTACACACCGTAAGCCAAATCCATAGAACAGGTCATCCAGGACTACGTCCAGTTAGGTTTTGAACATCTCCACAGATGGAGACTGCACAGCTTCTTTGCTGTGGAGACTCCAACAGTTCTTTGTAACCTGTTGCAGCATTTGACCACCCACCATATCAGGAACATTTTTCATCAATCCAAGTTTTCAAAGGATGTGCAATTCATGTGCATTATTCTAATATTTTATTAAGAACACAAGATTTCCATACTTGTCTAGTTTGTCAGTAATAATGACTACGAACCCAAGCAAATAATTGGACCTTTTTATCTCACAATGACTTTTTTATTCTGTTCTACTCTGAAAAGCTGCAAATTACATATAACTTCCAATTTAACAAATGAAGATAGATCCTCAAAACACTATCTTTGCAAGAAATGTCATATTTGAGACTGTTGTAGAACTCTAGCCTACAGACAGCTGCCCACCACATTAAGGTATCACTTTATTAAAGACCACCTGGTTGTTCACCAACATCTTGAAACAGCCTGACCTTAACTCCATGAGACACGCCTTCCGTGCCACAAACTGGTAGAAAACCATTGTCCCTCACACATATTCCTTCTGTGTAGTTTAATCAACCTGAGAGCAACAGTGGGATTCCTCTTCAGGTTGAAGACCAGCAATGTGTTTTGATTCAGAGAAGTGACTGAGTTAAAAGGCTGGCTTCACTATGCAGCTTCTAAAACAGAACCAAAATATCACTTGGCAGAGATACAGAAGCTCTGTAGGAGGCAGGAATTAATTTATATGTTCAAGTAATTAGATGTTCAATTTTAAAACTGTTTTCATATTTACTCTGCAGAGGTATATTTACACAGTGAACTGGTGACAATTTTCCCTTCTAGAGTAAAGTACTCTAGTAAAGTAATTTAAAGTAAATTAAAGTAATACATTTTATGTAGTCAGCAAAACAAAGACAAGATAAACAATCACAGAAAGATTCAGGTGCACGGGGTGACAGTTACAGGCATGTCATAGTTCCTCAGAACCACTGGACGACAGCTAACATAAGATGTTTCAGTGCCCTAATATTTTCCACAGTTTTAGAACAGCTATTTGTTCTCTCTCTCATTTAACCACATACACACACCTAGACACAAACTTTGAAAATAGTTGCACATCGTGATTTTTTTTTTCTCCCAGTTTTACCCACAATCCTGCTATTCTATAAGCAAGTTTTTTCTCATTATATTAAACATATTCAGTAAACAGTACAGAAGCAACAAGCCACTGATATATGACAGCAAAAGTGCTGCATGTTATTCACTCATGCATGAGGTACACCACAGAACATACGTAACTGGGGAAAGATCCAATGCATTCAATGGCATGCAAAGTCAGAGGCTCAGGAAGCTGCAGGAGAGTTAGTAGAATACATTAAAGGAAGTTCAAAGAAAAAATGTATAACTACCAACAAAATCAAGCTTACCAAAAAATGTGACCGCAAATCCTTCCAGTACACAAGCCCAGTATCCCATATAAAAATAACCTTTTAGATTGGCTAAAAAGCTGATGGTGCCACCAGTCAATGAGACCAGAAAATCAGCCACAGATAAATTGACTATAACATAATTGACAGGTTGTCTCAACTGCTTGAACTTAAAAGTTACCAGGATCACAGCCAGGTTCTCAGCAAGCGATAGGGAGGTCACCACCAGCATTACTGCTGCCAGAAGCCTGAAGTGCCAGGGCTGGATGGAATCCAAGGGACGACGAAAGGGATCCCATCTGCCAGGACCAGAGAAACCAGACAACAGCGACTCATTTCCAAGTGCTCTGAATGCATCCATTTTTTTCTCTCACTAGTGAAAATAATATTGGAGAATATTGGAGTTTCTAATCTGTAAATAAAGTTCAGGATTAAAAGGAGAAATTGTCTGTCTCCAACAGAAATGTAAAAAAACTCTCCATGTTTCCGCTTTCTGGTAATAATCCAGGAAACAAAGTTTTGGTCAGAGGAAGGCTTAGTACTGTGCAGTGCATGTGGGAACAGGGATAAGCAAGAGAATCTATTAGAGAGCCTTCTACCCCTCTCTGCTGGTAGTCTCCTGCCCCTCTCCAGCTACCGCTGATACTGTCTTCTTCTCTAATAAAGCCAGCTGCAGGTTCCCTCCTTCTGTACCGGCCAACAGCAGTGATTGGAGCAGATATCCCTCAGATCATCCCTACCCTGTGGGGAAAAACAAAACATTTGCTTGAATCCTTCCCTGATCTCTAGCACTGTGAAAATGAAGCTTTCCTTTTGCTAGTAATGAGGGTGGAGTGATCTTCCCCACGCCCCTGCACTGCTGCCAGCACAGCAAAGGGGGAGGCTCCCACCTGACTCATTTGCTTGAAGAAGGGCTGCCCTGCAAAGACTGACACTGGACTATAACAGCAGCTCTAAACTTGGCAGGGAAGCTGGATTCTAAAACCCTGCTCACATCTCAGGTTAGCTTACGGCCCCAGAACTGAAGCTTCAGATAAGTTTTCTGTGTTATTTAGTGCAATTTCAGCTAGTTTCTCCTAGAGACTGTACAGCTGTTATCCCTGATGAAGGCATAATTATTATAATCACAGTTTTAGTGCTAAAATCTCAAAGATGCACCGTGGTATTTTAAAGATAGAGCCTGCAAATACATTGAAACAAATAAAATCAGCACAGCATGACAATAGACAACAGAAAAATTAATTGCTAGTCAGATATTTCTGAGAAAAATGAGTGGATGTATCTATATTATATATAATAATTGTTAGCAATTATGTATAAGCAATCCAGTTTCCATCCTGGAGTCTTCAAAATTTGGACATGCACCATGCGCAACACACAAAGAAAAAAACAGGAGCTGAACTGAAAGTAAGAACGAGCAATGCTACCTATCCATATATTCCTCTGAGTTTATATTTGTTTTAGTTTGTATGTGAAACACTTAACATAGGTTGAAATCTTTTGATATGCATGAATGGAATCAAAAGAGCTTCTGGGCACAGGCAGAAAGAGTTATACATCAGAAGATTTCAATCTATTTCAAACAACAAAAAATGACAGCAGCTTATAATTAAAATAACTTTTTGATATTTTAAAATAGCTTTAACATACTCACTTGAAAGGGAAAGACAGAGCTTAAGCAGAACAAATCTAGTAACAAAAATACTCACAAAATAATGCTTATTCAACAGAAGTATTAAAAAGTTCCAAGCATCAAAAGAAAGAAAGATCAAAACACAGTGACATTAAAATGCCGACAGCAGATCCTTGTATGGCATGATTCATCATAGCTCCATTGCCTGAATACTACAACAGAAAATCTGGACCAGTAGTTTAAAATCAAGTTCAAATATTATGTTGCTTAAAATGACACGTTAAATTCTTGTGGGCGTTAAAATGAAATTAGATTTCTGAAATAAAATATAACAGAGAAGGCATTATCTGGATTTCTCTAACACAAATTCATTGCCTGTTCATTGACACCCCTTAAAGAATGGATAACTGTTGTTTCCAGTTATTTTGTTGTTTTATGCTGTGATATTGTTCAAGTTGCTTGCATGAGTAATGATTCTGATTACAGTTTAAATGCATTGTCTTTGTCTTGTGAGTCCTCTGCTTAGAATCCTTTAAAAATATTCTTATACTCAGCTGCCCAGTTTGCTTTTGTTTTGCTTCTTCAACAGATCAACTGAAAGTGATTCTCTGTGACATGCTCTCTTATTACAACTTACAGCATTTCCACTTTTTATAGCACAATAGGTTTGAATTTGCTACTGCTCTTGCACTGAAGGCCTTTGTTTGTCCAAATAATACAGAAGTTTTTGCAATTTTGTTGTGAGACTTTCTGAAATCAGAAATTTAGAAAGACAAAGTATTGCCTTGTGAACACAGGGAGACCAGGATCATCCTAGGTCAATTGCCTCCATTTAAAGAGACAGCTGTTCTCCAGCAGAATCACAGAATTCTTGAGGTTGGGAGGGATCTCTGGAGAACACCTGGTCCAACCCTTCTGCCAAGCAGGGTCACCTAGCACACATGGCCCTGGATCTTGTCCAGGTGAGTTTTGAATAACTCCAAAGGAGGAGACTCCATAACCTCTCTGGGCAACCTGTGCCAGCATTCTGTCACCCTTACAGTAAATAAATGTTTTCTCATATTCAACCACTACTTCCTGTGTTTCAGTCTGTGCCCATTGCCTCTTGTCCTGTTGCTGGGCACTACTGAAAAAAGTCCGGCCCCATCCTCTTAACGCCCTCCCTTCAGATATTAGTACTTGTTGATAAGATTATAACACAAGATCTTCAGTCCCTCTTATAAAGATCTTGGTTTACATTAGTGACAACTTCCCTTTCCTGGACTTTCATATACTGAAAGTTCACTGATAAACTTGGAGCACGTGCAAACCTATCTTGAGAGAGCTTGGCATATCTCACATCGCCTTTTTAGCAAAGGTGTTCCTGACTGACACTTACTAAGAGGTAAGCTGGCAGACAACAGAACAACCTCAGGCTGTTGTATAAACAGCAGTTGATTGGAGCAGGAACATACAGTCAGTGAGGTGAGGAGAAAGTGTAAGTAATAGCACTTGTGTAATGTGCCTGCAGTAATTCCAGCTATATGACAAAATCAGGATGACAAGAACTGTGCTGAGACCATAGCAGGTGTCTGAAATTGTATGTGGCAATTTGTGCATTAGTCCTGCATTTCCCATTCCAGGACCCAGACATGGAAATGAGCGATAAGGTCAGTGTGATACTTCAAGTGGTGCCCTTGAATAGGTTCACTCAGCTGATTTTAAGCATGTGACAGACAATCTCAAGATGCTTCTATCAACTGACAGCAATGGCCTTCACTCCTCAAAGTGGTTGTGGAAGATTTACATGGTATCCAAGAAGGATTTGGTTGTCACATTTAATTAGGACAAACAGCATTTTCTGCTTTACAGATGTTTTGTGGGAATCTGAAATGAAGGATTCCACTTTAAGAAAAAACAAACTAGCTCTGTAGTACATGAATGCTGATCTCATGAACTGACTTGGCTACTCTAGAAGTTACCTTCTATGAAAAAAATACAACCATGGATGCAGACACTTGTCTTTTTTACAAACAAATGGTATTAACCGAATGCACCCGCACAGACTGCTTTCATCACACATGCAAACTCCATACCTTCACAGCAGCTACCCTATGAGCCAATAAGGAGGCTGAAGCTAGTATTTTTCCTTTGTCTTCAGTGCCCATGAAATCTTTAAATGCAAAACAATGCTCCTGACCTCGCTGCAAACAGCACAAGCAGGGGTGTTTGTGACAGTACACCATTTCACTTCTGTATGCCCTTAACAAGACAACATGAAATTAGGTCAGAAGACCCCTAACACCTCTCTCTATATTTTTAGTTTAATATCCTGCCATTGCCAGGCCATTACATTAACCACTTCTTCAGTGGTACCATGTTAATTTTGGAAGGTTTAGGTTCTTTTGGTCCAGTCTGTCCTGCTCAACTTGAAAATTAAATCATAAGGGCCTGATACCAACGGAGATCAGGATAAGAGTGGGTAGTATCAAACATTTATGAAAACAAAAAATAATCTTACATTCCAGGCTACAAAATAAAAATAGGGAAAGAAAGTACCTGGTATATTTCACAGGGAGCAAGGCAGGGAGGCAATTAGAGACATGCTTTATCTCTGTAACTAAGAATTAGCATAGCCAGGAGGTAATCCAGGTAGACAGAACAGGAGATTTTAATTTTGAATTGAACAGAAGGTACAATATTTACTTGCTGATTTTGCTGAAAAACATTAATACCCACCCACTGATACAGATCATCTTAAAGCATTCCAAAACCTGTGGGCCTTGCCTCAGCTTTCTTGCAGGGGAGCTGTGGTTGCACATGCAGCATGGGAGAGCTCCTGGCACAGGGAGCCCTGCTTTGGCCCACAGCCAGCACAGGCTTGTGGTGAAAGAGGCTGTAAAAGCTGGTGGAAGGTGGTGAGGAAGAGCCAGGCACACCATGGGCAGGTGCAGGGTGTGTGGCCTGAGGAGAAGCTGGAGAGCAGATGCTCCTTGGGCTGGTGGGTAGGGAGAGGCTTTGGGCACACAAAGAAAGGAAAGTGGCTGTAAGGAGCTGATGAGGACCTCTTCAATTTCAAAGCAAAGTAAAATTTTAAACATATCAAACAGAAATTAGATTTACCAATTCTAAGCTATTGTTTTTTAAAATAATATATAACAAAAACAGCAGTGAGATCTGTGAATGACTTTGGAAGAATTACAGAAGCATCTAGGTTGGAAGAGACCTCTAAGATCACCTAGTCCAATCTCTGACCTAACACAACAAGTCCTCCACTAAATCATGTCAGTAAGCTCTACATCTAAATGTCTTTTAAAGACTCCCAGGGATGGTGACTCAACCACTTCCCTGGGCAGCCCATCCCAATGCCTAACAACCCTTTCGGTAAAGAAGTTCTTCCTAATATCCAATCTAAATCTCCCCTGGCACAACTTTAGCCCATTCCCCCTCATCCTATCACCAGGCACGTGGGAGAATAGACCAACCCCCACCTCGCTACAGCCTCCTTTAAGGTACCTGTAGAGTGTGACAAGGTCGCCCCTGAGCCTCCTCTTCTCCAGGCTGAACAACCCCAGCTCTCCCAGACGCTCCTTGTAAGACTTGTTCTCCAGACCTCTCACCAGCTTCATTGCCCTTGTCTGGACTCACTCAAGCACCTCAATGTCCTAGAAGCGAGGGGCCCAAAACTGAACACAGGACTTGAGGTGCAGCCTCACCAGAGCCGAGTACAGGGGGACAACCACTTCCTTAGCCCTGCTTACCACACTGTTTCTGATAGAAGCCAGGATGCTGCTGGCCTTCTTGGCCACCTGAGCACACTGCTGGCTCATATTCAGCCGACTATCAGCCAATACTCCCAGGTCCTTCTCTGCCAGGAAGCTTTCTAACCACTCATCTCCCAGCCTGTAGCACTTCTTGAGGTTGTTGTGCCACAGGTGCAGGACCCGGCACTTGGCCTTGTTGAACTTCATACAGTTGGACCTCAGCCCATCGGTGCAGCCTTTCCAGATCCTCCTGCAGAGCCTTCCTACCCTCGAGCAGATCGACACATGCACCTAACTCGGTGTCATCTACATACTTACTGGGGGTGCACTCAATCCCCTCATCCAGATCATTGATAAAGATATTAAAGAGAACTGGCCCTAGTACTGAGCCCTGGGGGACCCCACTAATGACCTGCCTCCAACTGGATTTAACTCCA